TAGGACAGAGCCACAACGTCAGCTGGCCACTCTGGTCGTGCAGAGAGGTCAGGACGTTGAAGTCGCTGTGCCAGGCGAGGTCGACGATGCTCGAGGTCAGCTTGAAAGCCTGCAGGCTGTTGTTGTTGACTGAATTCGAAGCAGCTGTTCCTCTCCCACCCGCCAGCGAGACAATGTACAGGTCGGCGTTTCGATCGAGGAGGGCGCAAATCTGCTCTCTGCCAGCACCCGCCTCCGGTGACATCTTCACGGCGACCACTTCCAAATTGTGACGGTAGGAGTTGCTGCCCACAGCGCCGCCTTTGCCGCCTCCAGTGTTGCTCACCACGCCAGCCATTTTATTGGCGCCGTCCAGCTCAAAGAAGTGCACCACCTGCAGGTTGATGCCGTCCTTGTACGCCAGGGTGCTGTTGTTCAGGCTGAAGAAATCGGTTAGAAAAGCACATCATCAATCATGCACATTTTTACCTGATCAGACTGGGTCTGATGGCCTCCAAGCGAAGATTGCTCAGCTTAATGGAGCGCAGAAAGCGGCCATCGTAGCCGTAGAGACTGCCGGCGGCGGCGGTCACCAGGAGAAAGTGCTTCGCCGCCTGACGCACCAGCAGCACCTCCATGTTCTTCACATCAAAGTGTGTGGGCGTGCTCCAGCCGGCGGCTGCAGAGACTGCTGCTGATGATGCTGTTGATGTATTGTTGCCAGCATTAGCGCCCGGCTCCGGCTGCACTGCCTGGTAGACGAAGCACTGCGACCCAGCGACCACCACCAAATGCCCATAGGCGAAGCTGAGCCTCGTCACCGCCTCACTGAACTCCAGCACCTCTGACACGTCGGCCACGGTGGCATTGGCCACTCGGATTGTCCGTCGAGAGGTGGTGGTCACCGTCCAGGCACTGCCAACACCACCTCCACCTCCTCCCCCCTCCAAAGTTCGCTCGATGACGTAGGCAAAGAGCACCTGACCGCCGGAGCAGACGGCAGCGAGCTGATTGGAGTCGGGCGACCAGGCCACCGAGTAGACGACGCCTTCCCCTCCGAGCAGCTTCTCCACGGAGAGGCAGCAGCCGCTGGCGGCGTCGTGCAGCTTCAGACTGCTGAAACCGCCCACCGAGAAGAGCTCACCGTCCGGAGACCAGGCGACGGTGGCCAGCGGCGCAGAGTTGGTGGCCGCCGGTGAGCTGTACAACAGCCGTCCGCTGTTGTCCCACATGCGCACATGGCCGTCCTCGGCGGCGGAGAGGATGTGTCCGTTCAGCTGGCTCCAGGCGAGGCAGACCACCAGACCCTCGTGGGCGGTCCACTCAGTGGACCGTGACTGCGGACTGAGCGACTTGACCACCAGGCGGCCGCTGGTGCCGCCCACGCCGTAAACCAGTGAGTTGCTATCCGGCGACCAAGAGAGGGCGTACACAGATGAGGTGACCGTTTGAGCCGTACCAGCTGAAGAGGTGTTGATGGTAGAGCGAAGCATGCCCGCTCGAGACCAGATCTTGATCAGACCGTCTTCGCCGCCGGTGGCCAACGTCGAGGCGTCATTCGACCAGCGAAGGACGATGATGGCGCCCGAGTGGGCCTCGATTGAGCCGCGATCGCCACGACTGCTGGCGCCGTTCCAGGAGAGGGGCAGCAGGTGAAGGTGGCCAATGCTGCTGCCAATGGCAATCACCGAGTTGCCGTCGATTTTGAAGCTGGAAGAGGAGGTGGAGGAGGCTGAGGAGGAGGCTGAAGAGGATGTCTCAAAGTTGGAAATGCCACCACTACCTCCTGTGATGGGCAGCAGGTGCATCGAAGTTGGGTAGGCATTCTTGGGCAGTGGCAACTGCAGTGCTTTCACCGGTTCGTGGTAGTTTGCGGCACTCCAGAAGAGCAGACGCCGATCGTCAGCGGTGGTCAGCACCAGATCATTGCTGGCCCAGCAGACGCAACTGGCGAAGCCGACGTGACTGCCGGTGCTCTTTGAGGCGCTGTACAGTTGAAGTTTCATTCTTCAATCAGAAGAATCACAAAATGAACCAAGCTGAAAATCCAATTTTAGATCGCACGTTCACAAGTCACAAGTCTGACAGTTTACCCACCACCACCACCGCACTGAAATGAAACAAAACGAGAGAGCAAACTGTTTCAACCCGTTTCCATGGTGACCGTTCGCTAAGCGTATGATTGGGACAAGCACAGCGGATTGCCTTTCTGTTTAATGTTTGCAGATTCGTGGTCTCACTCTCTATATCGACCCTAATTCTAATTGATGGTTTAATGGATTGAGTGGTGCTGTTGTTTACCCGCTTCCCGCGACATTGAAACTAGGCAGACACCGACAATTTCATGATCAGTGGGCAGTAGTCGCGTGGAGAGCACCATAGAAGGCGGAGATGTCGCGCGTTTCGCTCTGCCGTACAGCCGCCAATGGCCAAGTGGTGGCTTAGCTTCGCTATCTGCATCATCTAATCTCAAAGATGATGCACTTTTTCTGTAATCGAAAATCTATGTCTAAAATCTTCAAACGAAGACCGCGACCTTCTTCAGGCGCCTGTGCAGGGCGCCAGATGCCAGCAGCTGTCTCTCTACTGCAGCCTCACTGCAGCACTGCAGCATCGTCGTCGTCGAAGTGACAACAACAGCACAGGAGGACACAGGCAGAAAGTGTGTTGGCCAGGCTCGTACAGACAAACTGGAGCAAGCAAACAAGCTGTACTACTGTAATCAAAACCTAAAGCTATCGTTGTTGTTGTCGCTACCATCGTAGCCGGAGCATCTTCATCACCACCAGCATCACCACTTTTCTCACCGCTTCACGTCAGACTCCGCTGAGGGCTCGCCGGTGGAGGATCTGTAGAGCAGAGCAGATCACCTTTGAAGAAAATCCCACTAAAAATCCCAAACTCACCAACGTGAGTTTACGACTCTTTTCACTCACTCGAACTCTCTTCCTCCTTTCACCTCGACTGACGGATCTCTTTTTCTTCGTCTTCTTCTTCACCATCATCGTCGTCGCCGTCGCTGATTTGCCCTCCCCCATTGCCAGTGCTCCAGCTGCAAAGACAGCAGAGCACGCACGATTGGCGACGTTGTTTACCAAGTGCTTAGAGTGAGTGTGTGTTGCACAACCACTACAGTGTCCTAGCCCTACAGAAAGAGAGACTGAAGTGTCTGCTAGCTCTCGCAACGAAATTCGCTCTATCATCGCCACTTCATCAAGTGACTTTCTGCTTTTATTGCTGCCATTACCTCTGGTGAAGAGCACCTGGAGAAGAAGGAGGCAAGTGTGTGTGAGCAGCAGGAGAGGAGGGGAGAAAGATCAAGTGATCATCTGCACAGAGGATGATCTAATCGGATCAGCAGCAACAACGCTAGCCCTCACGCGAGGAGTTCTCTGCAGGTCGCATAACCTCACACTCTTTGCAAACTGTGTACAACCTCAATGTGAATTTTAGTAGACCAAAGTTCCACCGGGGAATCACCAGAAATGCAGCGATACATGGCCCTCTACCACCACCACTACCACCACCAGCAGCATCATTACCATCACAGCCGTTTTCCAGTTGAATCAGTGGCCGCCTGCATCCTCGTCAATAATCAACAATCATCATCATCACCAGCCGTTCCCCTAACTGGCTGTTGTTGTGCTTGTTTACTACGCTGACTGATCCACTCTAATGACCATTTAATTGTCCCCTTCAACACCGCCACCTCAATCTCTCCGATCACTGCCACAGATCAGCTCTCATCGATCGGCACCTTCGGTTCGGCACACCTCAAAGCACTGCAGTCATTTCGCCTCTATTTTCAGTTCTCCATCTTCATCCCTTCTCAAGCTGGAGTTCCCTGCAAAGCCAGGCCACAGCACTACTACGATTGCTAATGATGCTCACTTGGAAACACACATACCACGACCACAAGAAGCAGCAGCAGCAACAAATTCACCAAATGCCCTTACAGTTCTTCGGGAGAGGGAGAACGACTCTAGCGAAACTGCATCAGCAGAAGCATTGGCAGCATTGGCAGCTGACCCAAGTGCACCTTTTCTTTCTCAAGCTACTCAAGCACTACTTACAAGTCGCGTTCTGAGCACAACCACTACGACTTTTTCTTCTTCTTCTTCTTCTTCAGAGAGGCCGACTAATTCTCTGTCATTAGTAGACACGAGTGAGGAGTACTGTACCCACGAAGACAGTACCTCCTCACAGACTACCACCACAGCACTACCGCTGTACGTCAGACCGACAGCAGCAGCCTCAGCAGGCAAAGCCTCGAAGAGCGTTGCCTCGGCGACTGACGTGAATCAGTCTGCACCAGCAACAGCAGCAGCAGCAGCCCAACCACCAGTTGGTAAGCACCTCTTTTCTTCTTCTTCTTCGTTTCTGGCGGCAGACACTCTCTCTTTCTTTTTTCTTTTTACTTTTACGACAGCATCACATGAGAGTGCAGCTCTGTCTAAAAGACTGTCTTTGACTCTTTGTCTCTAACTTTTTCTAATCTAACGCTTAATTGCCCATTCCCTTTATTGCATTGCTTGCATTTTCTGTCCCTTCCACTCACTTACTTCACCCAGGTNCTGTCTAAAAGACTCTCTTTGACTCTTTGTCTTTCTCACTCTTTCTAACTTTCTAATCTAACGCTTAATTGCCCATTCCCTTTATTGCATTGCTTGCATTTTCTGTCCCTTCCACTCACTTACTTCACCCAGGTGCCACCCTCCTCGACGGCGGCAGCAGTGAGGTTGAGCTGATATCACTGCTCGAGGAGAAGATTCCCAAGTATAAGCTGCGCTTTGACACTATCACCGAGTTTACAGGTGCGCTCACTGTTTGTCAGTTGTTTGTACTGTTCATCATCATTCTAATTGGTGTAACCTTTGAACCGGCACAACACAGGCTACCAGCACAATGACTGGCTAATCGAGACGCCGCTGATCGACCTCGATGCGCCCATTGACCTCAGCCCGGCGGTACTTCGCGAAACACTGCACTACTTTATTCTCTCCGGAGAGAGACTCAGCCAAATGACCAGAGTCTACAATGACCCGGATGCACTCACTAAGCTTCTGGAGGAGGTACGTTGAGCTTTTCAGTGAATTATTAAAACTGATGATAAACCAAAAAATTATTGCAGAAGGAGAGGGACCTCGAGCTAGCGGCACGAATCGGTCAGACGCTGCTGGACCAGAATCAGAGCCAAAATGAGCGGATCAACGAACTGGAGGCCGAGCTCAGTCAGGCGAAGGATAAGGTAAATATGATAATACAAAGTCAACAACATCAAATACGCTCAGCAGTTGCCTGGCAACTTCAACTTCTCTAACACTGACTCTAAAAACAAAACCTACCAGATCATCCAGCTGCGCCATGAGATCTCCTCGAAGAAGGACCTGCTGCAGATCTACCTCAAGGACGAGGAGGAGGCGGAGGAGGAGGAGGAGGAGTACGAAGATGACGACGACGGCATGCTGCACTTTAGCTCGCTGCAGTACGAGGCCTTGGACCAGGGCCGATCCTCGCCGTCGCTGTCAAAGCGGTCATCCAGTCGGAATGCTCAGCTGATGGTGAGCAAGCTCGAGCGGCGCGTGGGTACACTTGAGACGGAGAATAGGAAGCTGAAGAGTGAGACGCTGTCAAGGGCGAGCGAACTGGAGGATGAGGAGCGCAAGGAGTTGGCGCTCATTGATGAGTGCGCCAGACGGCTCAGTAAGTGTGACTTGCTCTTAATTAGTAGTTCTGCTTTACTATAAACTACTAATTATCCTTTTGTACCCAATGATGACTCATTTCTCTCTCCCCTTAGCTTCAACGAACAAACAGGTGGCCACCCTGCAGGAGGACCTGAGCCGGCGCACCGAGGAGACGGTGAAGCAGGCGGCGGAGATCAGTCTGCTCACCAGTCAGGTGGCCAGTCTGGAGAAGACCATTCGCACGCTGACCACGGAGAATGAGGAGCTGGAGTCGGCGCTCAGCCTCGCCCACGAGTGCCAGTCGGAGCTGTCGCTGGAGCTGATTGACCTGAAGGAGAAACAGGCGAATCTGCTGGCGGCCTTCCACGAGAAGCAGGAGGAGTGCAGGGAGCTGGCCGCCAGAAGACGGTCCACGCTCAGTGACCTCCTGCCGTACGTCGACTCGCTCGCCTATGAACTGGAGCAGTCCTCCTCTTCTCCAAGCAGTAGTAGTGCTCATTTTCATCATGAGCACCACCACCCTTTGCACGGCGCCAATCTGGTCTCCAACCTCGATGAGATGCTCTGCGATGAGCACGAGTACGATCCGGCGATGGGCGGTTTCGACGGTCACCACAGCGCACACCACCACCACCACCTTCACCACCAGTGCCCGACGCCTGATTCGTTGCTGTCAAATGACTCCTTCTACACTAGCTCACCCTTTACCTCATTTAGCGGACCATCGACGTCGGCTGAGCAACAGCAACAGCCGACAAGCTCACAACCGCAGTCACAGCAGTCATCTTCCGATGCCATCATCACCCCCGCCTCAACGACCACCCTCACCTCTTCAACCTCGCCATCACCATCACCCTCATCACCCTCATTAACTGCAGAAAATTCGACCACCAGCACGTCCTCCACTCGGCCCTTCAAACACCGGCACCACTTTTTGACGGACAAACTGCGGTATGTGAAGCCGCTGGAGGGCTCGCAGACGCTCCATCAGTGGCGGCGGCTGGCGTCGCCCAACCTGAACAACCTCTTTGAGGAGAGGGAAACCAAAGGGTACTTCTCACGCATCAAGGCCAACCTGGCCGCCGCTGAGGTGGCCCTCTACGCGGCCACCTCCAAAGACCGACTGCCAGCACCTTCTTCATTGTCGTCCTCATCCGAAGCACACTCATCAGGAACAAGTGCACCACCACCGACCATTTCCATTACCCTCGCGGGGAGCAGCAGTCCGACTCAAAGTAGGGCGACACTACATCCCAAGCATCATCAGCCCTCCCTCATGGGCGCCAACTTTGTCACCACAAACTCTGTGTTCACCTTCACCACCACCTCCGTCTCGCAGACGCGGGAATCGGTCACCCACGTGACGAGCACCTACAGCAGCGTTCAGCCGTCCACGGGCAAGGGCAATAGCAGTCTGCCATTGTCGCATTGTCACCGTTCAGCCCACACAACTGCTGGAGGAGCACAGTCCTCGGTCACAGTCGCAACAATCGCCGGTCAGCCATCCTCTAAGGTACGTATATGGTAAAGTGCGTGAACAGAAAGTGAACTAAATGCACACAAATCTTTTCAAATTACGTCTGTAGGCGAAGACCACCACAACGACGACGACGACCACGGCGGCAGGGACGGCCCGGCGACCTGTCTCTGCACCGAGTGCGAGTCGGTCGATGAACAACAGGCAGCACAATTCACTCAACTCCAGCTCAACTTCAACTGCCACCGCCGCCAGCAACAGCAGTCGACTGATGCCATTTGGCGGTCTGAACGAACTAGGCCGCCTGCTGGAGAGGGACAAATCGCTGGGCCTCTTCTCCTCGGCGCTTCGCCCTCTACACCAGCATCACCCGCAGCAGAGTGGGCGCATCATGACGAAGGTGATGGCGGCCGGGGTGGTGGCCACGGCGGGGGCGGCGGCGACGGCCACTGAGCTGACCAACAAGGTCGCCAAGAGTGACTTCTTCCGAACTGATCTATCTGTGTTACGAAACCTTCGCAAGGGTGGGCTTATCTGAGCTGCTGCCGGTGATCACTTGTGCGGCCTTAGCCTTAGCCTTTCATTTCATCTTGTCCTTACCACTGCAGGCCATAATTTGTTTTTCTTGTTATTCTTTCTCACTTTGTTACTTTTTATCTCACAACTTTTACCCTCTTCACTCGCTTACTTAAATTCTAAACTAGTCGCAAACACACACACACTGCTGCAGAACGTAGATGAATTACACCTTTTTTGATGATGACACATCCGAATTGTTGTTGTTATCCCCTTGATTAAGATGTAGTCTTTCTCTTGTCTCGTCGTCGTCGTCCTCTTTTCGTTTCTCATGTGATAGAGCCTGTACTTTCATTTTACTTTATTTACAAAATAAATTATTCCTACAATTTTAAAAACCAGTCCTTTCAAGAAGAAAACAGTAAAATAAAAAAAAAGTGGAAAAGTTACTCGTGTTCTGCGCAAGTGCAGCAGTTGAAGGAATCAGATGTAAACACATGCTNTTTACAAAATAAATTATTCCTACAATTTTAAAAACCAGTCCTTTCAAGAAGAAAACGGTAAAATAAAAAAAAGTGGAAAAGTTACTCGTGTTCTGCGCAAGTGCAGCAGTTGAAGGAATCAGATGTAAACACATGCTGGTTAAGAGAAAAAGAACAACCGTCAACGATTGATTGTGAAATGATTTGAAGAGTTGAAAGAAGCATGGCAAGATTTCCCAAAAGACGACGTGTTAATTATTCACCACCACCATCACCATCAAGTAGTAGCAGCTCAGAGGATGAAACCAGTGAACCAGTGAACGAAGATGGCACTCGAAGACTGAAATGCCCCTGGAGAAAATGTAAAACGGCGGTAAAAGATTCGACCCAGTTACGTTGCCACTACCGTCGGCACAGCAAACTGAAGCCATATGTCTGCATATATCCATCCTGTGATCATCCAGGGTTTAATCTAAAATCACACACCATTGCTCACATAATCAAAAAGCATAATCTGTCTGGCAAACCCGAAGCAAAACGTCACGTGAAAGTTCTGCAAAAAGAATTGGATGAAGAAACAAAGCTTCTAGGCATAAGGTCGCATATAAGAGGAGAAGTTTTTGTTGAAGATGTTAGTGACGATGATGACCATGATAATGATGTTGAGGATAATGAAGATGAGTCAACTGATCGTACAATGATCGTTTTGCCACGCATTGACACTATTCACCGTAACCCAACCACAGGTCACTACATTTGTCCATTCAGTGGATGCACCAAAGAGAAAATCAGTGTAGCACACCTGAAGATCCACTATCGAACTCACTGTGGCAACAACTTCCGACCTTATCAGTGCATCTTTGATCCTGCAAATTGTCAGTATACATCGAAACAGAGGGATGCAATGAAAGCTCACATTCGAAGAGTGCACAAGCCTGAACAACTTTCTTCTAACCCAAACACTTGTGACCTGGATGAATTTGTACAAACCTACCCTGACCTGTTGCAGATAGAGGAAGATCTTTTCAGTGGTGTAGAGATTGTCCATAAGGGTGCTCTGGAACTACCTCGGCCATTTGAATGTCCATTTGAAAACTGCTCCGAACAGTATTTTCTACAAGACAGAGTTTTCGATCATTATCTTTCACACAAAAAGGCTAAACCATTTAAATGCTTATTCCCCAAATGCGGCCACACTTCGCTGCGAAAAAACTGCCTTCAAATGCACATTCTCGCCAAACACTTTAATGTTCCACAGAAGATGCAAAAGGATCTAATCACTGAGCAGAAACTGGAGGCCGATCAGTATATTGAGGTATTGGAGGATGTACTTCAACAGGAGCAGGCTGCCTTTGCAATGGCGCAAGAGAAGAAAAAGCAATTGATCAATGTTTAAGAATTTCTTAACCCCTTATCAAAAAGTGATTTCTTACTAAAGAAGTAAACTTGAGAAGAATCTCTCATGAAATTCATTCAAATAAAAGCAACCAAACTAGCGTTGAACGACTTGCTTTCTAGCTTGTAGTGAAAAGATCCAAATTTAACATACAATAAACAATATGATCATCATCTTTTGAAGAGGAGGAGGGGGAGAAGAGCATGAGAAAAGGCATTGCACTGAAGAGGAATAACACAGACTAGAGTCACAGTAAAGGGAGTACAAGTAGTGGTAAAAAACGAAAGAAAAAGGGGATAACAGAGTTTGATTCATTTGTGCTGGTACTGCGATAACATACAATATTTAGTACAGCTGTGAAAAGGCACACTTGAGGGGGCCATCTAAATCACCTAGTCCTTCAAGCAGAAGAGACACAACTGCAAATGAGTGTGGAAGACTAAACTCTCAATCGGTGATGGTCAAGAGTTGGAACGGGGTTGGAAAGAGTTGTTTGTTTGTAGGAAGAGAAAGAAGAATATCGAAAGTGGGGTGTCACAGATAGGTTCGCTCGCTCGCCAGGAGGTTCGTGGAATTGTTGGAGGTGGTGGCCGTGGAGTGGGCAGGCGTCGCCGGGTGACTGTGCTGAGACGGGTTGGCGGAAGAAGAGGGAGGAATGGGCGACGGACTCTTCGAAGGCCTCAGCGGAAGTGGGGGCGGATTCTTTGGGGCAGTGACTGCGGGCGGTGGAGTGACCACCACTACCTCATCGCCCTCTTCAGCGGCCATCAACTCCAGCGCAGTGGAGCTGCTGTGCGTGGCCAGTGAAGACCGGGGCGGCTTTTGCGGCGGATTTGCCGAGCTGTTGTTGTTGTTGTGGAGGTGGTTGACCATGGCCGAAGGCAGCTCGTGTCCCCCGAGCTGGTTAAGGCTGTCATCACTGCCAAAGATCTGGCTCTCGTCAATGAACTCGCTGAAAGGGTAGGTAAAGGAACTGACGCCGCCGCCACCGGCGCCTCCGGAGTTGTGCTCTCCACTGTCCAGTGACTCGGTCGGACTCAGTCGAGGGTAAAGCGGCGCCACGGTACACTGACTATTCTCCTCCTCCTCCTCATCATTGCTGTCGATGTCTTCTACCTCTCCGTTCTCGTCAATCGCCTTTTGGTGAGCACTGCTGGTGGCCCCTCCGTCTGCTGCCAGTTCGGTGGTCAGGTCAAAGACGCTGTGTCGATCGCCTATGCGCGATCGCTCGGCCACTGAAGGTCGCGGCGGGACAGAGGGCGGCGGCACCATTGGCCGATCGCAGAGTGATATCGGACGACGGGAACGCGAGGTGTTGTCCACGGCGCCTCGAGGTGAGTGCTGATTTCGTCGGACAGTGGCAATGGAGGTGGTGGTGGTGCTGGTGCTGGAGTGGTTGGGGCTGGAGGAGTTGACTTGTGGAGTGTTTGAAGAGGATGAAGAGGCGGCGGAAGCAGCCGGCGGAGAGTCGCCTCGAGTGGGCACCGTCGGCACTTGCGACTGCTGTTCGGTGATAAAGTAAGTGCCATTGTTGATTGGCTGGTGGTGCGACGGCTGATTCTGCTTGTCTTTCATTCGCAGCGAGCCAATCTTGGAGCGAATCTTGGCGCTGGTCGAGTCAAAGCTGGAGCTGATCGAGTCGAGAATGCCCTCGTTGTTGCCTCCTGCCGAAGTTGGCGGCGGTTTCGGCGCCGGCTTCTTCACGCGAAAGTTGGCCGCCGCCGCCATCGCTGCAGCAGATGAGCCCTGTTTGTTGCTGCTGAAGTTAATCTCCGGATCGGAATTGTCGCCACCGCTGTTGTTGCCACCGCTACCGCTCGATGACTGCTCAGTCATTGACTGCTTTGGTGAGATATCAAACACTACATCTGCAAGAGAGAGAGGGGAAAAGGGAGAAAGGCGGATGTTTAGAGCATTGTTGCGGATGCTGCTAATGCCACAGCAATGGCAAACAAAGCTAACAGCTAAACCAAAACAAAAAAACTGTTCTTTACCTTCAGGAAAGAAGTAATCACAGTACGTAATCAGCGCCTCGATGAGGATCGGCGAAATGTTGGACATGCTCAACTGGCTGATAACAAAAAACGAAAAATGTGATGTTTAGTAAACAAAAACAAAGTGAAAAGTGTTGCACACTATGACTCACTCCATGGACTCCCCGTTCGACCACAGTAAGCTCGGACCGATGGCGATGGCCAGGTTTTGGCTGGACATCTTGTTCTCTGCACACCTATCCGTCAGCTTGTGGAGAAACTTCATCAGGTAGCGCAAGTTGTTCTTGTTCGCCTCCGGCAGACTGTTAACCACTGTCCAGATGGAGCGCAGCTTCTCCTGCTCCTCTCGTTGCCTGTAGAAAACCGATTATGAAAGGTCGAAAACTAAACAAAGCTCCCAAAAGACTTACGACGCGGCATTGACCCACTCCTGACAGAGTGCAAAGGTGAGCAGCGGCTCGGGCAGCTCGCGCAGGTAGCTCTTGAGGGTGCTGGCCACGGCGTGCACGTCCCGGCTGAGATCAAGCGAGGCGAGGTGCTGGTGCTGGCCGGCGTTGAAGGCATTTCGAATGAGCTTCACCTTGGAGACGCTGCCCGAGATGCGGAAGATGCCCTCCTCGCCCAGTGCCGACGTCAGCAGAATGGCCACGCAGGTCTCAATCACCAGCGATATCGTCCGCCCCGATGACCGTAGGTGCTCCTCGAGGGCGATGCCAAAGACGGGCTTTTGTGATGAATTGGCTGAAGAAGGAGAAGGCGAAGAAGAGATTGAAGATAAAAAAGAGGAAAACAAACAGTGTCAGCAAAAAGAGCCGCCTTCAGACGAAACACAAATGCTCGCTCTTTTTCTTTCCACTGCACTCATCCCAACAGCACACACTTACTTATAATGCCCTCGAGGACGGGAATGCAGTGGTTGATAGCGGCAAGCGCCTGCTCGTGGTAGGACGCCTGCAGCTTGACGTAGTCAATAAACACCTGAGCGATGCTCATCTCCTTGCTCAGAAAGTCCAACACCTCAGTCTCGTAGGCGTCCTGTGGTGGTGAAATGATGGCAGTGTTGAGTAGGCAAATAAAATCACCTTCTCGTTTGATAGCTCACTTACCCGACACTGATAGAGCTTGTACTCGTGGTCCTCCAGGTCCTTGCGCACCGTCTCCAGTTTGGTGTCCGTCTGAAACTGTGCCACCTGCGAGCTGTTCATCAGCGACTTCTGCAGCGACTCGTACTTCACCTTCAGCGCGCTCAGGTCAGAGTGCGTCCGGTTGAGCTGCTTCCGCGTCCGACTGATGTTCGGCAGGTCCTCGTTGACGAGGCCCTGGATCTTGCTGATGCACTGCGACTCCACCTCGGACTCGTGTGCCGCCAGCACCGCCGTCGCCTCCTTCTGCAGCTGAGAACATAGGTGCAGAGTTTTGCTAAAAGTGGTGGTCAGGAAAAAGATACATTAGAAAATACAGAAAAAGAAAGAGAGGTTCTCTCCTTACCCAAGAACACTGTCGGTCTTGGAGGTGGCGAGCAGCTCGCTGGACTCGTTGAAGCAGTTGCTCAGCGACGCCCCGGGCAACTTTTTAATCTTCTTCTCTGGCGTGGCCGCTGAGGAGGAGTCCGAGGTGCCGCCCAGCAGCGAACCGGAGATCTTCTTCTCCGCATTGGTCAGGGCGGTCTTGATGTTCTCCACGTGCTTCTCCGAGTTGATCACATTCTGCGAGAGAATCTCCTGGCGGTCGTTTTTCGATGCTTTCTGGTGAACAAAGTCCTTGAATTGATTGAATTGTTTCCGCATGACTCCTCCGGCGCTGGTAGTGCCACCAAAACAGTGTTGGTGTAGGTAGGCTATTCAATCAACAGCTGGCTACTGCTAAACGGTGGTGAAGATCAAACAGCGACAGCAGCAGCAGATAAGGTAGGTCGATGGTAGGTGATAATGGTGGGGGAGGTCGAGAACCGACGCTGATGAGGAACAACTGCAATTCATTCGGTGGTAATGGCAATTTGCGGAGCTGAGTCAGTCGGCGTCCATCATCATCACAGTCATCATCATCAGCAGCAGTGTATGTGCGTCTGTGTCTGTTTGTGTCTGTACATTGAACAGTTATCAGACGGCAGTGAGGCTGGAGGATATGACTGAAAAAAAGGAACAACTGCAGCAGTGACAACAGCAGCAGCAGTGGTTGTCGAAGCGAACAAGCAGAAAAAATGTATGTGGAAGTGGCCAACCACCAGTGGAGTGGGAGCGAGTCAGGGAGCACCAGAAAGAGCGAAAGTAAGAGAAAGCTTGCTTGATTGGGTGCTGCCAATTAAGCAGAAAAGATGACTGTGTGGTGATGAGCTTCGACGGGGCTAGGCGTTAATTGAACATGGACAGGGAGAAAGAGGCTTCTAAGAAGGAGGCAAGAGCTGGGAGATGGCTAGAGGGAATGGATGGTATGTAGGGACGTCTAACTGTAATGTGCAATTATGACTGTGCACCCAAACTGGTGGCGGTGGTAGCGGGTGGTGGTGGCTGTCAGTTGGTGGCGACTATCACAGGCAACAGGCACCCTTGAGACGGGCCAGGCAAAGTGTTGGTGGTGGTGATGGTGGTGGTGGTGGTGAGTAGCAACGGAGTTACGCTATGCTCTGCCAATCCAAACTGCATTACCATTTGATTATCGTGTCAACAAGATAGGCGATGTCGATGTCGGTGCTGGTGGTGATGGTGGTAGTAGTGGTCGTTGTGCTCGGCTTCAAGCATTACCATCCCAAACGTCTGCGCAGTGAGCAACAAATAAGAGAGTGGCACATTTGGCGAAGACACGAGAGAATTAAGAGTTATTGCCACTAAAGCTGAAAGTTGTGCATCAAGGCATCAAGTAGGAAGGAGACGGAGACGGAGAAGAAGAAATAGTAGACGGAGATGGCAATGTTTGTTTCGTTGTTGCTAGGCGACACCGAGTACCGTTTCAGGCGTTTCAATCAGTTTCAATCACAGGTGTACGTCACAAGAGTGTGCAGCAGATGAAGAAAGGAAGAAGAAGGTGCGATGATCTTTAAGCTTTAAATTGAGAGTCGAAGACAGGACACCAACAACAACAATATCAGAAGAAAGAGGAGGAGGAAGACACTGAGAGTATATTGTCCAAGTTGAGCAGTGACATACTCTATTACATGGCTGCAGTCGGGCGAGCATTACTCATCGTGAGAGCGAGAACAGAAACAGAAGGATCCTTTTTCTTTCGCTTCGGTGCACCTCTTCTTCGCTTCTCTTCTCACCGAGACGCCGACCAAGACGAGAAGACGAGCTGTGTCTTCGAAAGCTGCAACTACTGCTGCTGCTGCTGAAGGCGATGATGGTCTGGTGCTGGTGAAGAGACGATGAAGGTAAAGAAGAAGAAAAGGAGAGTTGCTCAGCTGAGAAAGAAGCAGCAACTTTAGAGCAGCAATCACGAAAGAGAAAAGAGAAACACACGCCCGCAGCGCCAACATTAGGCGACAAAACAATGGGCGATTTTGCCGGCGAGCGCCTGCCGCAGCTGATCGCCTCTCCCACGTGCTCCTCTCGCTCTCTCATTGGCTGCTCCTCACGCAAGTGACGCCAGGCACGCTTCGCAAGCGCACACATGATCGCTTCGCGTTTTGAAAACACAGGGCAGAACACACCGGTATCATTTGTTTGAAGGTATCATCGTCGGTTTTTCACCACCCCCATCACCACCTGCCACTCTGAAATGAAGACCACACAGCCGCTTCTGTGGAACAAGTGGATGCGGAACGGCCGCCGGCCTGCCCGACCGCCGATGCGCTTCACCGAGTGCAAGAAGCTGGAGCTGAAAGACAGCGTCACCTCGAGCAATAAACAGGCGGCGGGTATAGTTTCAATGTTTTTTCATGTTGATAACTAACAATGTTGACTAATAACTGTAGAACTGGCCTGCAACTCTCAGATGATGGAGATGATGGCCTGTCTGAAGGAGAACGACTTTGACCAGAGCAAGTGCAACAAGCAGGTGAACGCCTTCAAGAGCTGCTACCAGGGCCACTTGGTACGATGGATCGTTTTTTTCAATTTGCTCGGATTCAAACAACAACTTTACCGTCTTTTTTGCAGGAAAAGGTGGCCAAGAGCCGTCAGACGAAGAACCGCGACGAACCACAGCCCGGACAGACGAAGCTGACGATGTTCCAGGTGAATGAACTGATGAAGCGGTATCCTCAACCCAAATAGTCAACGTTGATATTTTTTCCATGTACAAATAGCTCACAAAACAAAGTTATAGATGAGATAAAACCCCTTTATTTACCGGAAAATCTTTGGAAACCCGATATTTTGTTTTCAAAGATAAAAGATGAACACAGTCGCCATCTAAGGGCGCCGAATGAGTAGAACGGGAGAGAGCAATGAATGAGTCGATGAGGCAATACAGTACGTGTGTGTGTCCATCGTTAGTAGAACGCACTGCTGGCTGGCTCTGCCGTCTGCAACGGAGACGAAACTGCGACCTCATCTCATCTCTCTCTGCAGAGCTGCCACTCACAAATCGGACGCTGACTGCTGCTGCAGTGTTTGCTATTGTTGCCTGCCACATCCCCTTCCCCCATTGCCCTTCCCAAACCCTTCAGGTCCACTCTGAGGACCAGAAAACGGTGGACCAGCCCTGTCCGAGTCTTTGCGGATTTTTTTCCCCTCTGACGTTGAAGGCAACGTCTATGCAGACGTCCCTTTCCAACCACCCTCAAAGGTGATACCATGAGCCAAACAAAATGAGCAACATCAACCCCGTCGTCTGCGAGATCGTCGTCTAGTCGTTGTTGTTCATAACGTCGTCGTAGTCTTCACAAGCTCAAGTGCTCAAGCCAGCCTTGCTTTGTTTGCGTCTCATAATGACGCTGTCGCCTAGGTAAGCTTGCTGATTTTGCTCCAGAGACCTTCGCCAACCTAACCACAACGCCCAAATTTTGTTCCCTTCACAGTAACACAAAAAAGAGGCCCAGCAATGACGACAGTGAATTTATGCCAGTCACCAAGCGAATGAATCAGCTTAGTATTGACAGTATTTCACGGTACGTAGCACTTCTACTCTATCTCGAAATCGTATTCTTTCTTCTTTTGACACCTCCTTTCACCCCCAACAAACAGCGAGTCGACCAATGATAGCACCACCAGTGGTAGCACCACCAGCAGCCCTCTTGAAGAGAGTGAACTGAATGCCTACGAAGTTGCCCGATACCTGAATCATCATCAACAGCAGCAGCAGCAGCATCAGCACTACCTGAACGAACTGTACAGCCAAAACTACAACCCCTGCCTGAGCAGCAACCAGAATCCCATATACTATGAGGCGAATCGGGTCCTCTTTGAGGCCCACCAAGAGCGCATCACCCGACTGCAATCTCATCGAGTGAACGTCGTCAGATCGTAACCACAAACAGCACAACTATTCGCTGCTGCCGCTGCTTGATCATCTGATCACCTCCTCATTCCTCCTGACTCATTTATAATCTCTTGCCACTTTTTAATCATGTAAAATATCTGCGAAAAAGGAAGAAAAGCTGTCGAACTGCTGAACTGTAAATAAAGTAAATAAACAAAGTAAGCCATAAGGCATTGATAAACAGAGACAGACGGCGATGTGGTGTTGTTCACAATGAAGAGAAAGAGTGGGCTGGTCTGGGTGGTAATACAGGCTTGTAATAATGTAATATAATACACAGTTGTATTGCTGCTAGGAATTTGAGTGTGGTCAATGAGGAGATGGGAGTGGCAGATAGGAAAAAGAGAGAGAAGTTTACAAATGAAAGAGGCTTGAAAGTATTATAGAAAAGTGTGTGTGTGTGAGAGAGTTACATGAGCTGACCCAGCCTAGATCTTGCGCAGCGTACTGCAGGTCTCACAGTAGACCTGGTGTCTGGTGATGGTCTGGCCGTCGTGTTGAATCTTGATGAGGGCGTGCTGCCACTGCACGCTGACGGACGTCTCGCTGGCCTTCCTCGAGCGGCAGTTGGCGCAGACGGCGCACAGCGAGCACACCCAGTGGCCATCGGGGATGGTGGTCAGACCGACGCAGTATGTGTGGTAGCCGCGGTCGCACTTGTCGCAGAACATCATCTTGTCCTCGTCGTGCGGCATGCCGCACTGGTTGCAGGACTTGCAGTCCATGCACTGCCACTGGTACAGGCGAATGGCGGACAGCAGCTCGCCGCTTATGTCCAGGCAGGCAGGGTGGGAGGTGGTGCCGCAGTCGGCGCAGGTGAGCGAGTTCTCCGCCTGGGCGCTGGTGATCTGCTGCTTGCACACCTTGCAGTTGCCCAGCACCTTGTTGTTGACAGCCGCGGGCACACTGGTCGCTGGGCCGTTGTTTACATTCCCGGACTGACTGTTGTTGTTCAGGTGAAGAGCATTCGGTTTGCATCCCGGATAGAGCTGCAGCTGGGGCGGCGGTGGAAGCGAGTTCTCGTCGTAGCTGGCCAAGAGAGAGGTTCGTGAGCCCGCCTCTGAGTTGCTGCTGCTGCCCGTCTGCGATTTGGTGTTGCTTCTCGCCGGCGGTGGACAGTGCTCCTCGCCACAGCTGCAGCTGGAGTCGTCGTCCAGGTCGGAGAGGACATCAGAGCCGTCCAGGTCCGAGTCGGAGGTGTTGCCATCGCCACCACCGCCGCCGAGGTTCATCTCCAGCAGCGGCGGCAGCTTGTCCAGATTCAGCAGCGGTCCCTGGGTGACGGTGTTCAGCGGAAAGTACTTCAGCTCATTGCTGGTGTAGTGGAGGAACCAGTCCTGGTACTGGGTGGGCAGCAGCGCCACCGGGTACCGACGGCCGCCGCTGAAGAGCGGCGAGGCACGACGCCGGCGCCTGCTCCAGTACCGGAGGGCCTTGTTGTCGGCGCCAAGGCCGACCGGGTAGTGGATGGTGTACGTCTGCAGGTCCATGCACACGCGGCGGTCCTCCTTCCGCTCCTGGTTCAGCTGTTTGTTGTACTCCGAGACGGACTTCATCACTCGATGTTGGATACTCTCCGGCTGCCGCTTCTCGCTGGTGGTCGACCGATTTGCGACGGCGGCAGTGACCGCGGCGGTGGTCGTGGTGGTGTTCATGCTGGCGCCTTTGTTTTGCTCGACTGAGGCCGCTGCTGCTGCTGCAGCAGCTGCTGATTGCTGGCTTCTGCTCATCGGTGTTGTTGTGGTCGTTCGGTTCAGTTTCGGCTTCAAACTCGTGGGACACACTGCACTCCACCTGGATTGCTCAATCAAGGGCTTCTGCCGAAAGCGGAGCACGCGAAAGCAGAGCGCAAACAAAAGATGAATATCGTCTCGTGGGCGAGCAAATGGTGAAGGGAGAGAGAAAGACTGAAAATATACAGACTTCAGTAAACAGAACCAGTCGTCGTAGTCGTCGTCGACATGAAGCCCAGGCACACACAAACACACTGAAGCAAGAGAGAGAGAGAGAGAAAGGGAAAGAGAGAGAGAGACGCGAGACAATCGTGTGCAGCAGCGGCAGCGGCGGCACACTAAACGGCCAGGGAAAGTATTCCCCGTGAGTGGATTCACTTGCCGGGAATATTCCCAAGAATATTTTTTTTTCGAAAATTGTTGCGTTTCAACGTTAGAAAAAGTAAAGTCCGCTGTTTAACTTTATTGCAACAACTGAGGCAGACAAATAACGAATACTTGGTAAGTAAAAAAGTGTTTGATTAGGGGGGCATTGTGAGAGACAGTTTCAGGGGGTGGGACAGAAAGAGAATAATTTTACAGTGAAGAGAAAAATGCACATTTAAAAACAACAGGCTCTAGCAAATGGTGGTGGTGGTGGGTGGTGAAAATTATCAGAGTGGCTAAAAGTGGTGGAAAATAGAATAACTTATACCATGGCGTGAAGCGACGAGAAAGACAGAGGATCATGAGGTCAAAGAGAAGAGAAGACAAGACAAGAGAAAGGATTTTTTCCCAGTCACCACCATCATCGAAAAAGTCACATTTTCAGTCACAATTCATTTTCTCAGTCATAGCAGCAGTGTCGCCCTCAGCAGCAGCAGTTGCCGCCGTGCCGGCCTTTGGAGTGGTGGGCTGAAGATGATAAGTAGTAGAGTGGAAGACGGTGGAGGCAGTCATCGACCGGTGATGGCTGCTGCTGTGGTTGAAGCTGTCCAGCTGGTCCTTGTACTCGAGGTAGAGACGCTGCAGGGCGAGATTCGAGGCGAGAACGGCCAGCACCTCCCGGAGGAGTTCGTGTTTGCTGATGCCCAGCACCTTGTTGTTGTTCACACTGCCGCCACCACCACCACCCATCGTTGAAGTGGACGTTATTCTACTTCTCGAGGCGGCAGGCAGCGGTGTGGAGAAGCAGGAGACCACTGAAGTGTTGAGACCAGCACTAGCAGCAGCACTTTGAGGAAACTGCCCACCAATGAGAAAGTCGCACAGCTCACGCAGACGGTGCTCTATGTTTTCAGTGTTGAAGCCGGAGGAGTGCTGCGAGACTAGATTCTGTACGAGTGAGGACAGCCAGAAGCGGTAGTCCTTGCTGCTGGCGGTCCTCTTCGCCGACTCCAGCTGCTGCTCAATGAAGCTTATCAGTCCGTGTTGGGCAGTTGGTGCGTTCGCAGAGAAAAAGTTTTGCACCGAGCGACTGGTCAAGAGAGGAGAGAAACAATCAGGTTAGATATATGTGGTATTTAGTCATCAAACAAAGAGGTCCTTACCTGGGCATTCTGGCCACCGCCGGGGCGCCCCTCACCGCCGTCAGTGAGGTAGGCTTGAGATCAGTGCAGGCACTCAGTGGATTGCTCACATCGGCAATGAGCACCCAGGAAGAAAGGTCGCTCTCGTAGGCGTACGTCCGCCCATTGGCCACTGCCACTACCGGGCGGCCGTTGGCCGCCACCGAGGCGTTCAGAATGGACAGCTGCTCGCCCGTCTTTGGGTGAATCAACAGCGGCAGCAGTGACTCGCCCTTTAGCAACACCTGAAAAGGGGAAAAGAGTGTAAATATGCATTTCAAGAGAAACACCGTCATCACTGGTGATCATAATACCTTGGCCGGCGAATGCAGATCCCACAGCCACAACTTGGCATTGCAGGTAATCACCAGCAGGTGTGACCGATTGGCGAGGACCATCCGCGCGACGGGCGACTCGATGATGAGCGAGTCCAGTGTGCGACTGCCAGTGGCGGCGTTGAAGGCAGTCAGACTGCGGTCATCACAGGCGGCCACCACCAGGGACTGGTTGGCGGTCAGGGCGCAGATGGTCGAAGAGAGGAGGACGCTCCACAGTGGCTTCTCCACGTCCACCACCACCGTCAGCTTGCAGAACGGGGACGACACCAGCGGACGCTCCACGTCGGCGGCTGCGAAGAAACAAATGTAATAGGTTAGGTGAAACCAAGCAGGCACAAAAAACAAATGACTTACTGTACACCTTGCTCGTCTCTGAGCAGGTAAAGAGTTTGGTGCTAATCTTTGAGGACTGCTGAAAGTTTAACCTCAGAGCAGGAAAGAAGTTGTGTCGGCGTGAGTAGGCGGATGAGGAGGAAGAGGTAGTAGTGCTTGAGCGATTGTTTGCCGTGGCGGTGGTAGAAGAGGAAGGTTTGCCGGCGAGGGTGGTGGAAACAGCTGCTGTCGTCCTCATCATGTCAGCCTCATGGGAGGAGATAGATTTGGGACCGTTTGGCAGAGCACTCGCTTCAGCCAACCTGTTATTCTGCGCAGCCTCGACGACATTCGAAATCTGTTGTTGTTGTTGTTGTTGTTTACTCGCTTGTTGGTTCGCGCCTGATCCAGGCGGCCTGCCTGGCTTTCTCTTTACCTGTATCGTCGGCGGCTGTTGTTGTTGTTGCTGCTGCTGCATATGTTCATTCGGTAGACCATTTTCAATGTTCATTTTTCTCTTGCCCTTGTGCCGGCGAATGATGATATCACTTGAGGAGGAGTCGTTGGAGGATTCAGGTCGAACTTGTGACGTATGGTTGTTGTTGATGTTCGCCGCCTTGTTGTTGGCTCCATTGACCATTGTGCCGTTGGTGAGAGTGGTGGCGGCAGCAGATGAGGTAGAAGGCACCGGTGACTTTGGCCGGTACTCACTGGAATCGCTGGTGTTGTTGTTGCTGTGGCTCACGTTGTTACCCTGCTTTCCGCAAGTCCCATTCATTGACGGCGTCCTTTGTGACTCGGAGCCACCTCCTTTCGCTCCTTTGGACGTTCCTTCGCCAGCCGAAACGGCTGTTGTTGTCGTCGTCGTTTTCGCCTTCGTCTGTCCATTTGACATCACTTGATCACTGGAGACGTAGGTCATGTACTCTAGCGGAGGGTTCGATTCATCACGGGTCTCTATCACAATTTTACTCTTCGCCTCGCTGCTCGAGCTGAAGGACATCGAGTTGAGCGAGCCAGCGGCGGCTGAAGTGCTGCCACTGGCAACCGCCGAGCCGCCACCTCCTCCTCCTCTTCCCCCGCCATGGTTCAGCTGCTCGTCTCCCAGCGCATCATTGAGCGGGGGAATGAAGAGCGGAATGATGCGACGACGACCGTCCGCAGAGCGAATTTCAATCTGCTTATCCAGTGGCCCCTTCGCCAGACGGAGGCCACCGCCAATGGCACCCTTTGAGGAGTTTGAATTGTTGTTGCCGAGCATCTCCACGGGAGAGGGCTTCTTACTGGTGCTGGTGAGATCTTCGACGGCAACTCCGTTGGTGGTGGTGGTTGTTGTTGTGCTTGTGCTGGAAGTGGTCCTGTGACTGGCTGCAGCACTGTCGCCGTGGTTGTTGTTGTTGTTGATAGCAGCACTGTTGCCCAGCTCTTCCTCCTCCTTCTGCTGTCTCTTCTGCAGCAGCATTATATCCAAGTCCTCAATGAGATTGCTCATGATGGCGCTCTTGCTGTTGCCAAGGTTCTTGCCGTACAGCTGCTGCAGGTACTGGGACATTTCGTTATCGCTGCACTTTGGACCCAGCTCCTTCTCTGTGAACTCGATGAAGGCAACGGTGCCATCTGAAGAGCAGGCCATCAGCTCGTAGCCGTTGCGCGACCAGGAAAAGTCGAGTATGGAGTTCTCAAAGAGGTCTTTGCAGACCATCAACGGGCGACTGCCGCGGGCTGTGGCCCAGATTGAGATGGACCGGTCGCGGGAGCCGACGGCAATGACGCTCTGTCGCTTCAGCTTCGCCTCCTTGTTCTCTTTGTTGTCCTTGTCCCTGCCCTTGCTGGCCCTGCTTGCCGCAGCACTCGCCGACTGGAACTTGAAGATGTTCGGATTGAAGCACACCACGGGAATGGCCTTTCGGTGGCCGACAAAGTCCTTGTCCGCTCGCCAGTCCTGCCGGTCGATGATCTTCGCCACTGAGCCGCAGTTGTTCATCGCCTGCGCCGACACGAGAAACTGCCCATCTGGTGACCAGGACAGGCGAAGGACGTGCGTCGTGCCGCCGCACTGCTCAAAGGGCTCCGAGATGACCACCTCCTCGGTCCAGTCGCTCACTCGCCACACTCGCAGCGACTTGTCGTCCGACTGCGAGGCGAGGTACTTGCCGATCGGATCAAAGGCGACGCCTTTCACCAGACCAGAGTGCCCTCGCAGCGTGGTCACAATCTCCGGCCACCGGTGAGCGTTCCAGATGACGATCATGTTGTCGACGCTGGAAGAGGCGAGCCACTGGTCGCCGTGGGACCAGCTCAGGTCGAGGACGTCCCCGGAGTGGCTGCGCAGTGTGCTCACCAGGCGGTAGGACTCCGAGGGCCCGGGACCGCTGTGCCGACCGCTGAGCGTCCAGATCATAATCAGCTGATCATCGCCGGCTGAAGCGAGGTAGAAGCCGGAGCTGCTCCACCGAACGGCGTTCACGCACTGTAGGTGACTGTCCAGCGCACAGAGCAGCTTGGGCGACTGTTTGTTTTGTTCCACATCGATGGACCTGATGGGCGCCATGTTCCAGATGGCCACCCGACCGCAGTCGTTGCCCTGGCCGCCGGTGGCCACCCTGTTGCCATCAGGGTGGATGTGAATGGAGAAGATGGAGAGTGTTTTGCCCGCATCTAAGTGAGAGAAAGTGTGTGTTTAGAAGAGAGAACAGCGCAGATTACATCACCGGTACGTCACTGCACGGGGTGTACAAGCCGCAAGCCTATCATTCACTCACCTTTGTTTGACTCATCGTGTCTGATCCAGATCGGCTTCACTACCCTCATGATGAGCTAAGATGAGGCGGTAGTGGAGGAGGAGGTGGATGAGGAGGATGAGGTGAGTTGAGATGAGGATGCCGATGAACTGACGGCGTTGGTTGTGATGGTGGTGGGCGAGGCACGCTGGCACACACGCAGAAGTAGACACTAAACACCGCTCCGAATCATAACATGTGACATGAGTGGACAATGCAGTGAGGAGAAAGAGCAGAAGAAGCAGCCACCGTAGAGGCGCCAAAGCAAAGGTGCCGCGTTGAGTGAGCAGCAGTAGAAGAGTGAGTGAGAGAGAGAGTGAGAACGAGCCAGCGTCGGCGGCAGCAGCAGCAGAAGATCGAAGAGACGACAAGTCGAGGAATCACCGCCGAATAATTAACTTCGGAAGCTTGAAGGGGTGCGTGCAGGAATCAATGGATGAAGATCAGGTGTGCACGACACGGCGATGACGATGTTCTGCTCAGAGTGACCTCGACGACGGGCAGTTCAGCTGATGTCAACCAAATGTGAAGAAGAAGAAGGCGACAAAAATGGCCACCAATAAGGCAGCGGTAGCTTTGCTTTTGCTTTTGCGTTTGCTTTGGTTCTTCTCGGCTGCTAAAGCTGCTGCTGCTGCTGCTGTTGTCAGCTACAATGCAGTGCAGCGGAGGAAAAGGCAGTAGAAGAGTAGCGAGGTGTAGATGAGGCAACTTTCGGTGGAAGCTCGGAAGCTGGGATTCAACTCGGCGGACAACGAGGTGCCATCTGATGGAGCGGCTGCAAACCTCAGTCGCAGGCTGCTGCTCCCAAAGTCTGGGCGCGCAGATATCGATTTCTGGTTGAACGCTGCCGCTGCTGCTTGTTCTGCTACTCTGGTGGCTGCTAAGCAGCTAACTGCTGCCGCTAAAGAGTGAGACAGTTAGTGAGAGTGCTCAATGGGAACAGTGTAGTACTGTTCGGACAGCACCTGGCACTTTCCTAGGCACTTTGCTTTCACTTGCCTAACCGCAGGCAGCAGCCAGCAGCAGAAGCATTCATCGACTACTGTGAATTGTGGGCGCACAGAAGCAATTCATATGCCAATCGAGAGAGCAGCCAATCGGTCACAGACAGCAGCAGCAGCGGCAGCAGACCAGTGCTGCGGGTGGTCACCGCCCCTTTCCTCAAGTAGACCACCACCACTGTCTTCTTATTCTTCTTCTTCCTCTACATCTACATTCACATTAACATCTTTCCTGCTGCCTGCAGAAGTCAGCTGGTCAGCTGCTGCTGCCGGCTGATCCACACTCTCCGTCTTACGTCAACAAAAACAAACAAACAAACAAACCCATAAAGAGCCCCCGCGTTTCTCTCTCTCCGCTTTGCCTTGGTAACCTGCCAAAAGGCTGAACCGTCGCCCGACGAAAGGATAGGAGACCCTTCTCGAGGAGGAGAAGTACTTCTACTGTGCAGAAGTGGAAGACAACAGAAAAACTGAAGGAAGTGAGAGAAGATCGGGAGCGACTGTGGGACGACTGTGGAGAGCGTCGCCTTTGCCTTCGCCGCCGTCCCTTGCTCGTGTTTGTGGTTTCCTTCTGCTGTTTTCTCCTCTGTCGTCGTTTGTCGTTGCCGTGAAATATTGAGTTATGATCGACTTGTCTGACTGTCTCCTGCTAACTGCGAATAGCGGGAATACCAAACAAATGGCATGCCAACGAGGCGACACCGACGCGACTCGTGGAGTCGGCTGCTGCTCCTTCTGCCCTCGGCCAAGTGGTCGGTGTAGTGGACGCCTGCTGCTGCCCCTGCCACTCGCCTGGCGCCCATCACCCTCCGCGACCAGAGACGACGGTGGCGGGTGCTCACTCTTCCTCTCCTCTTCCTCCTCCTCCTCCTCCTGCTCGGACCATCTCGGTCCTTCAAGATGGACTGCTACCTGCTGACTGCTGATTAACCTCCGAAGAAAAACCGTATATCACACACACACATACACACACACCGATCGACCGACCAAAGAGCAATACCTGCCGCCTGCCTCCCTACAGCATACAGCACAAACACCCTGCCCACCGCATAACCTAATTATCCTGACAGTCGAAAGACCGAAAGACGACATTAGCCCGCAAAAATACTAATAACGGCGATCACTGAAGACGACCACGACAGGTGAGAGCAGTAGGATAGGAGGAGGGAGAGTGCAAGTGGCCACCACCACTGCCGCCGCCGCCGTCACCACCACCCGCACCGAATTGCCGAATCACCGCACCCGAAGTACCTTTTCTTCTTCGTTTTGTCTGCACTTTGGCCACCTATCGATCAACAGCGACCACGGCGACGACGATCACCGCTATTTCTGGTGTCACCCAAACTCCGTTATTACTACTACCCAGAAAAAGTGTACTACTCTCTCCCTCACTGTGATCATCTTTTGGGCTTGGTCGCCAAATTTCGCGTCAAGAGCGGACGAGCACTCCTCACTCTTTTCCTCTTTTCACTCTTCTTCTCCTACTTCACCTGTCCGGCGATCGTCTTAACGGGCTGTGTCTCACTTGGCCACAAACAGTCAGAACAAAGCCGCCCGTCCGTCTTGTCTCTCTCATTCTCTTTTCTGGTCAGCTTCTTTGTTTTATTGCTGCTGGTGGTGGTGCGCTGCCCAACAGCTCTCTAACACTCTGTCACCGTCGTCTTCTTTTCCTCTCTGTTTGCTGGTGGCGGTGGCGGTTCCACAACGACAACCACATTGGTCTTTGTGGTTATCATTAGCCGGTCTCCTCTGAGCCAGAGCCAGCGAGGAGTCCACCGCCGAAAAGTCAGTCATTCTCTCGATCAGCAGTCTATATACCAGCAAAACACACAGAGAGAAGAATTGTGCATTCCAGCACGGCTACGTGCCGCCAACGCTGTTCCACTTATCGTGACTAACAAGATCACCTGCTTCGATTGTGACAGGCAGGCAGGGAGGCAGGTACCACTGGAGATACCTCTGCTCTTCTCTCGGTACTACGGTTAGGTAGTGGTGTACCAGCAGCAGATCGGACGAAGAAGACACTTCATCGGTTTCTTCATCATCTCGAGCACCATTCACTACTTTCTGCTGATCTCTTTTTGAAGCAAACCCTATGGTGTGAAGAGGTGTGATCCCCCTACCAGACCGAACATTGACCAAGACTGAACGACCTGCCCACGACAGCCCTCTCAATTTCTGAGGCCCTCAGGCCTCGGGTCACCAGTGCCTTGCCCTGTCATCCAGCAGTGGTTTCGAAAACGCTGTCTCTTCTTCCACCACGATCATCTCCAGCAGCAGCAGCCGACCTGGTCTTGTCAGGTGGCCAGTTCCGCTTTCGGTCTTGGTCTCATCAATCTCGATCTCCCCTCTGCAGTGCCTCGTATTGCCATGTGCGTGTGCCTGCACCTGGCCACCATCGGCCTCTCCTGTCTGCTCTTCAGTCTGGTGAACACCTTCTTCCCCTCGGTCCTCCGCCCGCCCCTCGGCACTGGCCGTCAGCTGGTCGGCTTTGACGAGTGGAAGTGGCGCAACATCGTCGTCTCGCTGGGCCACTCGCTCATCTCCGGTCTCGGTGCCTTGTTCCTGTGAGTACTGTAGCTCTCTCATTAGCACTGTCCATTCCAATCACACACTTCGATTTGCCTAGGACGCGCCACTACGTCTCGGGCAGCGTCGCCCTCTCCTCGATCGGCGAGTCGCCCTTCTCGCGGCAGCTGCTCTGCCTCTCCATCGGCTACTTCGTCTACGACTCGCTGCTCTCCTGGTCGACGGTGCGCCTGTACCCGGGCCGCGGCGAGATCATCGTCCACCACCTGATCACCATGCTGACGCTGGGACTGTCGCTGGTGGAGGCGGTGCCGCTGCTCACCTCCCTCCTGCCCGCCTGCGTCTTCGGGCTGGTCATCGAGCTGAGCAATGTCTTCCTCCACGTGCGCTCACTCCTCGACCTCGCCCAGGCGCACCGCCGCACCTCCACCCTCTACCGGGCGAACAGTGCCTGGGTCATTGGTAGGTGGTTCAGTGCTGTATTTATTGTCAGCATTTTAATTTTCCCCTTTCCTCAGCCTCCGTCTTTGTGTTCCGCTTTTTGCCTTTGCACTGGATCAGCGCCGACATTCGCCGCCTGTTGGCCGGTGAGAGCCGCCTCGTGCTCGCCCTCGTCCACCTGCCCATCGTCGCCATCGTACTCATCTCCGCCGTCATCTGCTACCGTATCCTCCAAGAGGACTTTCTTCAAGAGCAGACAACTCAGACGGCGGTGTCGGCGACTAAGACGACGACGATGAAAGCGTCTACCACTGAATCAGAAGTGACGGCGGCGGAGGAGGAGAAGAAGGCACGTTAAAAACTGGGCAAGGGAGCTGTGTGAAGTGTGATCAGCTCGGGTCACCAATTTTCTCTTTCTCTACCTTTCTTTCTTTCTTTGTTGTTGATTTGAAAATACATAACAATATTTATGACTGAAATCATTGCTGATGACGCTGCTGTTGTCTGACTGTTGCCGATTTGAAAAGGGAAGAAATCAAGCAATCATATTTACTATATCAACTTCCTCCCCTTTCATTACGGCATCATCAGCAGCAACAGCATCCGCACTAATCCGACCCCACTTTCCCACCACTTCTTGACCTCCACCACCTCCATCACCTCCATCAACACTTCTTCTTCACTAGTGCATTTCTATTTATTTATTATTTGTTAATGTCTACCACCACTTCCACCACTACTCAACTACCGTTTCCTCACAACAATTGTAGTTCCCACTCACACACACACTCACATACTGAAAGCGTGCACTTGTAATTTTCTCATTGCTGTTGCATTCAAGGTGATAATCATCAACGTGACAATAAAAACGCCCACATTTTGACGATGAAGTGGTTGTGTGAGGTTGTGTGCAGTGAGTAAGAGTCTATAAAGTGCAGTGTATAAAGGTGTGTGTGTGTGATTCACTAGAGAAAACTCTCATTTGGCTCAATCAGGAGAAGGTGAAATCGGTGCAATGTTTCAAGTGCACTGTCATTCTACGTTGTTCTTTTGGGTGTCG